TGGTATTTGGTTTCCAAACAGCATGACATGTAGTTTGCATTTCATTCCCTGTGCCTTCCTCCAGCATCTCTGAGGGGAGAGGATGGAGCTTGGTGTTCAGGGATGCCACAGTGCTAAGCCCTTTTCTGCAGGCTCTGTGGCAATCCCTGTGGGCCTCGGTACTGACCTCTGTGCCAACCTGACATATGGGCCCTGACACAGCCCTGCTGGCAGGAGGGGAACACAGAGATGGACACGCCAGTGGGAAGCAGCAGAACATCTCTGTGGGAAGCTCTGGAACACAACAGGAAGTTTTGGGGAAAGCTCTCTTGCGAGGTTTTGTTTTGTTGTTTACTTTTGTCTTTTAAGGATGTGAAAGGAAAAAAGTAGTGCAAATAAAGGAAATGTTCATGAGGTGTTCCCTTCCAAGCAGGAGTTCATGGGAACAGATGGGAAAACTGAGGCAAAAAGTAGTGCCTGAAACCCGTCCAGCTGAGTATTGCCCAACAGCATGAGAGATTGAGTGGGGTAGCTTCCATGCTCTGTTGCATTTGATTTTCCAGCATTCACACTTCAGACCTCATGGGAAGGGCAGGGTTGTGACTTGAGAGGAAATTCAGAACATCATCACTGTGCTAAGTGTGACTGTGGGAGGCAAAGTGAGCAGCTGTGAAAACTGATACAAATGGGTGGGTTTCATGGCTTGCAATATAACACTTTGACATCACTTGCTATCAGAGGGACTTCCGTATTTGCCTGCTCACTTACAACCTTGCTCTAGTTAGCTTAATTTTGCTAACAGTAGTGATAATAAAAGGCATCTGTGGAGTACAGTCAAGAACTTTCTTTTTCTCAGGGCAAAACCCAAAGCTTCCTGAGTTCTGGTTTATATTGCCAGCTTGCTGTGGAGCACCGAGAGCAGGACTAACTCCAGCCAGGACACTGTCCGCTTTGGGCTTGCAGAAGATATTCATGCTGCATTGTTCCTATTAATTACAGCTCTCTGGAAACATAAGGCATGGGATGGAGGAAAATGAAACAAACAGGCTTATTTAGGTCAATTACAAAAGTACGGGCTAATTGCAAACAAAGTAGCAAAACAGGAGCAGTTGAGGCTCAGAGGAAAACAATGTGAACAGTGACCTACATACCCTTGGGGAGTGGGGGTAGGTTAGACAGCAGGCCATTGGGGACACCAGCTCAGCAGAGGGGTTTGCAAGCCATCTCCTTTCAGGCCCCTGGGCCAGGGCCAGCCTCTGTGCCGAGTGCTATCCATGCAGTCTGTGCAGAGCTGGCCTAAACAAATAAGAACATTCAAGGAGACATCAGCCAAGTGATGCAGTGGCATTGTTCCTGTCTGATGTTTAGCCCCATAGAAAGCTGCAAGGCCTCTTCTGTGAGGGCAGAACCTGGAAAATAACAGCTCTGGGCTTTCCATTGCAGAACAGCCTGGGAGTGAAGACTGTTAGTTTGTATGCTCTTGCTTACGCTGCCAGAGGGAGGACAAGTGAAGGACAATCTGTTGTTTAGACACATGCTGGAAAAGCTATCTTGTGGTTCCTTTCTGTGCCTGTAACAGTAAGGAGCTCTCTCTAACCTAACCTGGCCCAATGTAACATAGCCCAACCCAACCTTTCTACAGTGAACAGGCCTCTGGATGATGTTCAAGCAGTCAAGCAGCAGCTTTCAGCCTCTGCTCAGCAAGCCCTTGCAAGTACTTTTAAGACATAGGTGGAAAGTAGCTCTTCTTGACTACCTTTCACAAATATCTTAAGCCCACTGCCAACAAGATGAAGTGTGTAGATGTCTGCAGCACCACTCACTGCAAAAGGTTTATGGGTCCAAAACTGGGAAAGATATAAAGTGATTGCTCTAAGGGAGGTCTTTATCACTGCTCACAGAGTTCAATGGTAATTTCATCCTGTGGTGTGTATTTCCAGAGAGCAGTAATTAGGGAGAACAGTGGAACACAAATAACTCCTACAAAAGGGAACAAGGATTTAGCATCCCTTATTTAAATACAAGCTCAGTCAAATGCTTTCCTATCATGTGGTTTTCAGCTCTGGACTCCCCTTGCAAGCAGGAGTATCCAGCATCCAATCTCTGTGTGCCTGCCAGCCATGGCACCTGACCAGTCAATGGGAGACAGCCTTCTCCTATCTGCATGGTGCTATTTTACCCACATCTAAGGTCCCAGATAACTACACTCTAAAAGTGGCAGAGTTCATGCAACACTGCATTCCCACTGAGGGATTTTGAGACTGTCAAACCATTTGGTCCTGTGTGTAAATGGGACTCTGTTAGATCTAAGCTTGAAAGGACCCCTGTGGATTATCCTGTATACCACATCATGGCTTGTCTGACCAACCAAAGCCGATGTTCCAACCAAAGCCGATGTTGGCGAGTTCACCAGCCTCAGGCAGTGTCTGAGTTTTGCCTCAGTACTTGATGTTTATCCTCCCTTGTAACATCCACGCAGCCAGCAGAAAGCACAACACATTCACATTCAGCAGCTACCGCATAGCATTCTCATCCCCTGCCACTGAAAATGTGGCCTCGCTTTTAGGGAGCCACCAGCCTCTGCAGTGCCCTGCCAGGCTTCTCCACCCCTGCAGCACTCAGGTGCTGGGGAGGCTCTCCTGAGGATCCTTCTCCACATGTGCTGCCCAAGGTGGCTGTGGGAAGTCCTGCAGCCATTCCTCCAGGCTTCAGTCAGCCAGCAGAGAATTTTTTTCATCAATCACATCTGCCACATCACAGCAGGTTTGGAAGCACACCTCACTGCACACCGGATGCACCTGGGCACCAGGTGAGTCAGAACACGGCCTTGCTTTGACAGCTGAATGGACACTTGTGAGCACTTTGCTAATTATGTTAAAAATAGTTTTAATTGAGGGCATGGGTTTTATTGATCCCTTGAAATACAGGAGTGAGATATAAGGAGACTAGTTTATCTGCTATAACAGCAGAGTCAAATTTGAAATGGATTTGTAATTTTTTCCTTTGGTTTAGGGCACATTCTTTTAATTCAGAAAAAAGTGAGTGTAACTGTGCCTGGGATTTCTAAGTACATCTCTACACATTTGGTCTTATTACAGAAAGTATCAGTCCTTAGTGGATACAAGACTTTTCTAAGCAGTAACTTTCTATCTTCAGCTGAACTTTCTATACTACACATTTTGTTTGTACTCCCCATGGTTTCTCTTTATCAGCACAATTTCCTGGTAACCAGCTGAATGGCATTCATGCATGTATATTCTTCTTTTTTTAAAGCACAGCTGGGATCTATGATATAAGCATATTCTCCCTGGATGCATTATGAACCATGTCTACATGACTTTTCTATGGGAACACATGAAGAAAAGATCCTGTGTAACTGTTGTGTGGTTTTTAAACATTTCAGGTCAGGTATCAGGAGCCTGATAAAAAGACCTAAGCTATGGTTGGAAACAATTTCCAGAAATTCGTTCTGCTTATCCCTTGTAGCTGTGGCAATAAATGAGAGAGAGGAAGGGACAAAGCTCACTGCCAGAAAATAAGTCAACAAAAGCGACTAACTCTGTTTGGGTTTCATCACCTGACACACCGTACGCTGAGTTTGGAGGCCTCCATGTGTCCAGAAAAGAATTCTTGGGTGACTTTTGCCAGGGCAAATTCATATCTGATTAAGGGGTTAATAATGAAATTATTATTAAGTTCCCATCATTTTCAAAGATGGAGGAAAGTTAAACATGAAATGCACTCTGTATACTGCCTGGTAGCTGCTTTTCTTCTCTTACCCTCTACCTGTCTAGTTTATCATGCATTTATTTTTATTCTGGACTAGACCAAAGCTATTTATCTTTCCTCCACCCTCTGAGTGCCTGCTGCTCACTGCTCTAACAAGAAGTCAGCAGGAGGAAAAAGGCATAATGACCCTGCTGAATCAACATCCTGTGAAGTTGAAATGACAGTCATTATCCTAACTGGAAAGCAGCACTATGGTCCTTTGGAGGTTGGAGGGTGGGCAGCTCTTACAGAAGAACAAATGCTCTTCTTCCACAGAATTTAATGCTTGCGGGAAAAATGTGTTCTCTGCTCTTCACTTGGCCTGAAAGCTGCTCAGGAACATAGCAGTGAGAGTGTGGAGCAAAATGTCTGTACCCACTATTTCTGCAGGCATATGTGAAGGTGATCAACCCATCCTCTAAGCTGTGTGGGAACTATGAATCTGCATAATGTGATGCTGATCCCTGACTAACTCACCTGGTCACTGAGCTGGCCTCAATTGATCATGCTGGCTGCCACAGCTTCCAGTTTGGAGCTCCCTCTAGTACCAGAGAGCATGTCAGCTCCAGCACATCAGTGTCTGACAAAATGAAATCCTTTCTCACATTGGTTTCTCTGACTAAGAAAACAAATTTAAAATGGCAAAACCCCAGGCTGATCAAGATACCACCCAAGGGCTTGGCTGCAACATCAGCACATCAGGGTTTCAGAGGCACAGAGCACCTTGCAGCCCCATCAAACAGAGAGTTTGGAAAGCTCTTAGTGTATCCAGCTGTGGGACTACATCTGCCTTCAGCACATCAGCATGGCTGTCTGGAGACTCATCTCATGCTCCCTGCCTGGCCACAGACAGTGAGAAGAGCTTTGTAAGGAGAACAAATTCAAGGAAAGGTTTACTATCACACTGAGAGGGCTCATATGGCACTTCTGCCCTGTTGTTTGTGTCTTCTTATATGTGCTCTTTTTTTTAATCACCATATTCTTAACTAGGAAAGTAACTTATTTTTAAAATAATTTCCAAAATGTTCATTTTGTACAGAGCCCTACAGGATTACAGAACTATTGCAAAATGCTGTTTCTTAGGAAAGCACAGAGGATTTCTGCAGCAGAGAAAAACATTTTCAGATACTTCATTACTTAGTGCTTAAAAATATGGCATATAATTTGTTGAGGCATCTGTTCTTTCATAATTTAAGGCATCTCTCAGAAGACTTCTTCAAGAACACATAATTCATGACCAAATGCTGGAAATGTCAAAGATAAATGACATAATTTATTCATGGTACATTATCCTTTCTGTCAAGGAAGAATTCATGACTCCAGAGTGAAGCTAAAAGTCCTGCTGCTTTTGGTTATCATTAACTGATCTCAGTCAAGGCGCTGCTCTGTGGAGATGGGCCCTACAGGAACACACTGTAAAACCACAAGCCTTGTTCAGAAATAAAGGTAATCTGTGACAATAGTGAGGAGGCAATAATGGCACAACAAAAGAAACAGCAGCAAGCGCTGGGGTGAGTAAGCACAGAGTGAAGCACTTGCCCCAGCACAAGCCACACAAGCACCCTTAATGAGCTTTGACACAATGACTGGCCACCAGATTACCAGCTTGACTGCTGCTCATGCCATGAGCAAGAGCAACATCAGGAGGCTTGTCATGGAGCAGCAGGTTTACCAATTGCTTCCAGTCTTACCACTGGATGAAAAGCAGTTTCTCCATTTCAAGTGGTTTGGTATTTCTTGGAGGATAGGGCTGTAAGAACAGGAGCCACACAGGACAGCTTCATCTGCTCTGGTTTCACTCCAGCTAAAGCTCCAGTGGTTGTAGAGTCAGTGCAAGGGTTTTACACTAACTTTTCATAAATTTGGTATTACAACTGGAAAATCAGATACCCCTAACAATGAAACAGGTGTGTGGTAAGACTTGTACTGCAATACCTAGAGGAAACTGGTGTTTCCTGCCTGTTTCCCTTTTGAATTATTGAGCTCAAGGAAATAAAGAGCAAGTGTTTTTATTAATGAAACTATAGAAAAAGTTTCTTTAAAAAACACTGGCAAGATTTTTCTCTTTAGGACAAAGAGTGGAAAAAACTGTGACATTTTATGCTGCTTCAAAAATAACTAGAAAGGTGGTATGCTTTATGGTATGCTTTAGTCTGAAAATCAGAAACATCCGTTCCCTGTCCCAGTTCCTTTTCAGTGAATTTAGAAGTCCAGTGAAGTTTCAGAGTTAGCCTGTCTCTTCAGTCACTTCACAGACACAAAGAATTGTAATCACAAATCACATTATGCTGTGCTCAGCTTCCAACAAAAGAGGAACAATTCTACTTGCGTTTAAATAGTGTCTCCCAAGCAAACATCTCAGCTGTCCCTTGTTTTCAAAGACACCCCTGAGTTCTTTCTCAAATGTATGCATGTTTCTCCCAAATGTGATGACTCTGATGATTTAGTGTTGAACAGCAGAAATTTAAGAACTATTGACTACATTTTTTTTTCCTCTGCAGTGCCAGGTCCCAGTCCTGTACAGGCTGGTGCACATTTCAAACTCCATATCCACTGTGAGTAGTTCCACTCACTAAAATTGATAGCCTGGATAAAACTAAGCATATGTGTAATTCTTCCTAGAAGAGGGATTTTATTTTTGCTGCAGCAGCAAGCCTGGTTTCCTTCATGAGTTTCTCCTCACCCTTAGCATAAAGACACTGTTATTGAGCAATAGGACGAGAGGTTTGGTAGGAATGGACAATATTCACATTTTCTAAAAGAATCCTTTTCTCATGTGCCACCTCTTGTGTTGCGGACTATGTGTTGGGCTGAAAACTAAGACACCCATATGATTCCATGATTCTAACACTCTTAGCTCCATGGACTTCAATTACTTCTATTTAAAAAAAAAATTGCAATGTTAACAACTCTTGCAATTTTATTGTAAACCCCACAAAATTTGGTATCTTTCAAAAAGCCATAGTTCCCAGAACCTTATGACATTTTGACGCAGCAACAAGCATGGGTTTCTCTCTGGCATGTGTATCAAAACAAAAGCTATCAAAGGTTAGGCACTGACATTTTAAATTTACTTCCTGCAAATTACTGGTAGAGATTAGAAGCAAGTCCAATTATGCCTCTGGGTGTTTTCATCCATTTATGCAGGTTTCTGACTAGACAAACGTTAAGATCCTAGTCCTGCAAGCCCTTGTGCCTGCTCAGAATCCCACCTGGAATGTGAACAAACTTTTCCTGAAATTCTGGTGGTGCAGGTTTACCCAGTCATGAGCTGTGATACTGGCAGTATGCTGGCTACCATGGGGAAGACCCTAACCTATGGATCATTTGTCATTGTAAATCTCTGCCTGAACTTCAGCAAATTTTCACAGCCTGTATTTTTGGAAGGATCATCTCCAATTGCTATGAATAGTCTGGGTTTGAATTAGTCACTGAAGACAGGACAATCGTCAAAGACGGGAAAGGGAGCAGGAAAAGTCACCCACAGTAGGCAGTAGGGAGCCAGAAAGATACTCCAAGGACATAGGACAAATTGCAGCAAATGGTAGGGCATGTTAAGAGGGAGCTAGCGAGGGAGCTAGCAGGACTTTTCCATGCTAGGAAAGGCTGGTTTCCTTTCTCTCCATTAGGGCTGTGGTGTGACCAGCGTTGATATGGACAACCTCTTCGGACTGCGAGAGAGAACTACATCCTAAATGTCTGCCCTCTGACAGCAGCTCAGGCTTGCTGGCTTCTGAAATTTAGTAGCTGCCATGGCATGGGAGGGCAGCTGTCTCTCTTCCCACTTGGGAAGCAAGGAATTAACATAGTGGCTTCTGAACTCTTCCTTGGGGAACAGGTATTATTGCCCCAGGGAAAAACCCTCTTGATGGCCTGACACGTACTTGCTTCTAGGCTCTCACCTGCTAGGAGCCAGCACACACGTGTCCAAATTTCTGATTCAATAGGTGTCTTGATGTGCCAGTGGGCTGCCAGACTCCTAATGAAAACTTCGAAGAACTGAGAGAAGGAGCCCCAGGACTTCATCATAGTTAGGAACCTATGCAATGGGTCCCTACCATGCCACTGTGTGGTTGTGGACTTCCATGGTCATTCAGGAATACCCAGCTCAGCTGCTTACGGGTTTGTCTTTGCCAGTAGCCTCCACACCACCTCTGTGAACATTGTAGCCCCTGTAAAAGATCCACACACCAGATGTGAAGTGTTGGCTGTCCCAAACTGTGGGGGCACAAGGTGCATCCTCCATCCCCTCTCCCACCCCAGAGCGGCAGGGTGACACAGTCTCACGGTCCCCTTCCCTGTCATTCCCCAGGAGGCTCCTGTAGTGGCACAGGCAGGATGTGATGACAAGCCAGGAATGGCCAGGCAGGTGTGTGGGAAAGTCAGGACATTGTGACACCCCCAATTACAGCAAACACCTTTTGGCATGGTGTGCCAACCCACTCTGAAGGAGTAGGAGGCACCCGAGATTTGTAAATGGTTTTGGTCAAAAGGAACAACTTAAGTCTGAGGGTCCACAAACAGTGAATTGTAGACACACTGATTTCCACCAACAATTCAACTCATTTGAGACACCAAGATGGTTTAAATGATGTCTGTTGTTGTCCTACCTCTTTTATTATGTATGGGCCAATTTTCCAAATTTCTGGTGTCACTGTTCAAGGGATGCTCCATATTTGCTTAGCCGTTTTTGGTGGTGTCAGGGCAAGTGTAGTTCGGTTATTTTTGGGAACTACTGTATTAAGTTTGGATGTTAAGTCAACCTGCGTTCCATTTTGCCAGAGACACTACAATAATTGGTTCGAACAGGGAAAAGATGGACAGGGGACGGTGCGGGCGGAGGGAGCAGCCATGGGCCCTGAGGAGCGGCGGGCACGGCAGAACGGCCCTCTAACGCCCCTTTGACCTTCTCCCGGCTTTCACTTGGCTCTCGTGTGGGAGAAGCGCCCTCGGATCCCCATCAGAGCGCGCCGGAGCTCGACCAGCGCAGCTGGCCACCCCAGGCACAGCCCAGCACGGATTCCCCACACGGCACGGGATCCCCACACAGCACGGGATCCCCACACAGTCCNGTCGGGATCGCCGTTCCTGGGCGCCAGGTAGGAGAGGTTCAACGCGGCGGGGCGGGCTGGGGCGGGGGCAGGAGGCGCGGCCCCTCACCCGCAGTGCTGCCGCCGCAGGGAGGAGGCTGCCGGCTGTGCTGGCTTGGACGTTTCTCTCCTCCTCTCCTCTCTCCCCTTCTCCCTCTCTCTCTTTCTTCCCCCCGCCCCCATTTTGCACAGAAGCCGGGAGGATAATTCACTGCAGGCTCTGACTGCATCCCTCTTCCCCCCAGCCACCACCGGCTCTTCGGGAAAGGTGAAGGTGTTGGCCGGGGGTCTGTAATCCTTGGCAGCAGCTCAAGTGCCTCCTTGATTCACTTTATAAATAGGGGTGGGGGGACGTGAAAACATCAAATGGCTTTAATATCTCTTATCACACACTATATGTAATTGTGTGGACTTAAAACCGAGATAGATCTGTGAGAGTTAAAAACTCCCTCGTGTGTATTCTCGGGGTTTTTCTGTGACTCGGTGTTTAATAGTCAAGCACAGCTTTGTGCTTTCCAGGCTTGTGAAGCATAAGGTGGAATGGATGTGCATGGAGCTCTAAAGCACGGGGGGATGGAATTTTTGTCTTTGTCATAAGATGATATTGAAGTGCAAAATCTAAATTTTGGATCTGGGAATTGGTATGGATGTGTTAATTAATACTAAATGGATGATAATTTGTGTGGAAACCTCTGAAAATAGTACTGCTGCCTCCATCCCTATAAGCTCTTGCATTTATATTTCTTGCAAAGAATGAGGCTAGAATTGAATTTATTGTGAATATCATATTGACTCACAGTGCATCTTTCAGTTTAGATTTGATCCTCTGGAATCTGCAAAAGGAAAGTCTGCCAGCCTCTGTGAATAGCTTTGCAGTGTAACAGGAGTGGAGTTCCCGGGCAGAATCGCTGAGAGATATGTGAATGTGTGGGAGCAAAGCTGAGCACGTCGGTGTTTCTGCCTCAAACCTGGGCTCGTTCCCCAGGCACGGTCTGTGTGTGGGGTGAATACCTCTGTGGCACCTGGAGATGATGTCAGTCGAAGGGTCTACGATAACAAGTCGGATCAAAAATCTGCTTCGCTCCCCTTCCATTAAGCTGAGAAGAAGCAAGCCTGGGAACAAGCGAGAAGATATAGGCAGCAAGGTGAGTGCTCTGTGGTGCAGCCAGCATACTTTAACTTTGTTGTCTAAGTTTCCATCTGAAGTGATAATTCTGCTTTGGGAGACCTGGTAAAACTGTAGAGTGATGCAGAGGAACTGATCCATGACTGGTCTGTCTTTTAGTTGGGGTCTTTGCTTTGCTACAGATCCTTCCTGAAGCTTGTGCCCTTCTTTTGAAGCATTCTTTTTGCCTGTGTGATATGAACTCAGTCTATATCAGAAAGTTTTTGGGATTTCCCGCACTGTGGTGTGTAGAGTTGTTAGAGATGACTGACAGGAGAAATGCAGTGCCCTCTCTTCCTTTATATTACCAGCTGTTAACCTGCATTACTGGGAGCTGAGGATACAGAAATACCTGTTGTGTGTAAGCAATTGCTCTTACCCTGCAAAGGAGCGTTCTGTGAGCATGTGGGGAAGGGAAGGATGTCATGAAATATGTGAAACATGTCTTGGAGGTGTCTGTTTAGATAGGGTCTGTGTTCCACAGGCTGGGATGTCCTTTCCTCTGTGTGCTTCAGACTACCTTTCCTGGGAGTTTTCTTCTGTTGGGCATAATTGGTTCTTAAAAATCCATCATTCTTCTTGGTGTTTTGGAGAATTCCTGACAGACACTCACTCACTGGGAATTGGCTGGTGTCATGAGGGGAGGATGACTTAAGCCTGGCTTCAGGGATCATAAGAGCTGGGTGGCATTGCCTTGTGCTGACAGCAGGTGCCTCTGAGTCAGGGCACCTTGTTCTGCCCCTACCACTGATTCACCTGTAACCCCAGGCAAATCACTCAGCCTTGGTGTAACTCTCTGTCTCCATAAATAGAAAACTTAATCCCTCCCCTTTTGTGAAGACTTGCTAATAAATAAGAAATGCTTGTAATCCACGTCTGAAAAGTATATTAATTTGTGTCCAATCAGTAATGCTTAAAAATTTCTCTCTTGAAGTGAAGGGTGTGTATAAAACTTCAGGGGAAGTAAATGACACTGTACCTAAAAATGGTCTTTCCCCAGCATAACATCTGTTCTCAGAACTCTGGTTCAGGTCAGAATTTCCCTTAGATGGCTCTTTAATACCAATGAACACAGTATTCTTCTCTTGCCAAGCAAGAGAAAAACCATGGCTTCCTCAAAGTTGTCTAGAGGAAAGTCCTTGGTGCTTGTGCTTGACCTCAGTGTTTTTCTAAAATAACAGAAACACGTTGCAGTCTGCGATTTGGTGTGTGTGTAAAAACTCCTGGGACTAACACTGACCATCATACACATCACTCCTGAAGGATCTTTTCTGACCTGCAGGAAGGAGTCTTTGAGGCATCTTTGTCTCTTGGACATTTTGAGATTGCTCCAAGAGCTGTATGAAACTGTTTAGGTGGAAGCATGGAAGGGCCAGTCAAGTTGGTCATCTCAGCTGCTTGATTACATAGGATGGAGCTGGACTTTTGCCCTAAATGAATGCCTGGAAGATGATATTGCGCTTTGCATATGCAGATGTAGGTGAAGACCCAGCCCTCAACAGCCCTCTGAGTCCCTCAACGTTTTATTGCAACCAGGTACTCAATTTAAGATGGACAAGCAACCTCAGTGACACTGCTTAAACTGCCATGAACTGTAGTGGTTTATTTTTTTTCCCCTGCAGTGGGAAGTGTCTTGTCTCTCTCCTAAAGAGCCCTTTGGGCATGTGAGGCTTGCCAGGCTGTCTCAATGGCTAGGGACAGACCCCTCGGGCAGTTTGTCATGCTGAAGAGAAGGCCTGTGAAATTGCCTCCTTTCAGTGAAGCAGCCGTGTAATGCTGGGCTGGCCGTGGGCAGTCTGTGGGAGGCTGGCTCTGCAGAGACCTGTTTGTGCATTGCTGTGGAAGGGGGAGTGTGGGTAAGTAGAGATATTTTGCATGATGGCTGTGCAGGACATGCAGTGTGTTACTTGGGATCTGTACAAGAGAGAACTTGTTCTGTGACTTCCACTAGGACTTATTTCTTGCTGTAATTAATGCATATTTTTTTACTGTAGAGCTCCAGGAGATCTCTACAGAAGTTAAACTAAGGAGCCAATAGATAATCATGGACGTTTAAAAAAAGGAAAAAGGGGGGAAGGGATTGGAGCTCTAAGTAAAGTTTGTTGACAAATTGGATGTAGTGTTTGGTTTTGTTACTGCTTTTTGAAATCAGTTTTTGTTTTTTGGGAGTCCTGATTTTTGTTGCTGCCTGACTAGTTCTGCATTTAGACTTTCCTTTTTTTGTGTGTCTTCTGATATTCATGGCTTGAATCTGCTTTTGCTGTGGTCTCCAGATCTCTATTTTTTGTATTGAACCAATATAGACCTAGAGTACTGTGACTTAAGTCTAAGGCTTTTTGACTGTTGGGATTTGTAATGTTTTGGTGTGGCAGTTGGAAGCTAAAATTTCCTCAGATAAGTTGATTGGCCTGCGTTCAATTTCTAGAGGATTACTAGCCCTGCCAGAAATCCAGCCGTGCATCTGGTCACCGTGCTTGTGATTCCAGTAGAGACACGGGGTTAAAAACTGGGCACTAAGTGCCTTTGAATCACCCTGCAGGGCAACACCATCAGGACAGAAGGAAAACTCAGGCCTGACCCATCTCCCAGTTGTTAAAATATCCTGGTTGTTGTAGTACCCTGCTCACAGAAGTAATGTACTTAAGCAAGTACAGTTCCTGCAGGGGTTGTTTGTATTGCTGAGCTCTACACTTGTAAATATAAACCTCTTTTTAATTGATGTAGCTGTGCCTGTTTTAGTGGGGGATGGTGTGTGCGAGTATCCTTAGACAAATCAGATTGTGAATGTCAACAAATTGCTACAAAACCTGCTACAGGCTTTCCCTGAAACGGGAAGCCAGCGAATCAAAGAAACACATTTGGAATTTGCTGCTGGTTTCTTTGATCTCTTCTGTTTTTTCTAAGCCAGAAATATTTCAAGTTACCTGTTTAAAAGAGTGTTTTGACTAAAACCTGAATTCCTCAGCGGGAAGTCATTGAGCAGGGAACTGTTATGTTGTGGTCTCTCCCCTCTCCAAGTGGCATGCAAACATGTGCAGCTGGAGTGCCTGGTCCTGCCCTACAATGCTGGGTTGGACTGGGTGGCTCTGCAAAACCTTGAGAGCATTTGTTCTGAAAATGAGCCCTGACTAAGTTGCTCCTAGTGGGACAGGGTTTCCTGTCTTCCTTTGGTGAGACATGGTCTGTTCTTACTGCCAGCCAGTAGAAACAAGTACTTCTGTGTGATTCTGTGTCCTACCAGTGAGGTTGCACAGATTTAAGAGGAAAGCAGATCCATGGAAACTTCAGACTCCTCATGTCCTGTCATTTCCAATGAAATTCTCCAGCTTCTTAATCCCCTGAGAAGCTGGAGGGCTCAGCTAGGACCACAGGCTGTCCTGGACACAGGAGAATGGAGTAATGTTTCTATCCTGACTGTAGCTTCCTGCTTTCAGCACAGAGTTCTTTTTGTTTGAAAATATCATGGCTTCCAACATGAATCAGTGTCAGACCACTGCTAGTCTTAACTGAATCAGCTGAGAATTGCTGAACCTGAACTGGAACAGAACCAAAAACCACACAAGTTTGGTTCACTGATGTAAATGCATCAAAAATCATCACCATAAGCTTTTCTTTTGCCAGGATTTGGAAGGGCCTTCTACAAAATGATGGTGCTTTTGAGGAGTTTTTCTACCCCATTCACCCGTTTTCTTCCACTGCAGTCTGAGGAGTGCTCTGCCCATTATCTATGGGACCAGTGCAGCCAGGGGCACAGCTGAGGGGAATGCCTCTAAGCCTGGTCTGGATGTCTGCTACTGTGCCTGTTCTGCTTCAGCATCCATGAATATTGCTTGACCCCAGTTGATAGCTAGGGATCTCTCTCATGGCTCTGCACTGCCCAGTCTAAACACACCCAATTGCTTCAACATCTTAGGGCCTGCTGTGCAGAGATAGAAGGGATTTCATGTCTGTCTCTAGTCAGGCTTGTAACAGTATCCCTTGAATCACAGGACAAGGGTTGGTTGAGTTCTCCATAGCCAGACCTGCATTTCAGTGGTGTGTCTGTATCAGTGGAACAAATGGGTGTCATTGCTCAGGGGTTGAATGCTTCCCTGTTTGGGTTGCTCTGGTCCCCCCCTATTCCATCCTTGGATATGTGGTGCTCAAGGTGATTCTGTGTTTGTCAGCAGTTTCACACGCAGCATTTTCTTGTTCTGTTCTTCACTCTGTGAATTATATGCCTTGTCCTGAAAATATAGGGTGATTTGTCTAGCTCCCTTGGTCCAAACATGAGTGTTAAATGTGACTTACATTCACAGAGCATATCTAAGCCAGAGTTTTTCTGCTGGTGAACTGCAGGGCCAGTTGACTTTGGTTCTTGAAATATAGTGGCTATAAAAGCTTATAACAATTCAACATATTTGGTCTTGTCACCTGCAGTTGTATCCATGAAACACTGTTATACTTCTTGCCAGTCTTGAGGCAAGATTGCTGGCAAGATCATCCTTCTAGCCACCCCTAAATCATGTGCTGTTACTGTGAAAGACAGCAGGAAGACATCTCCATGGCAGGGAGAGCATAATGATGTGCTGGGGTAAAGTCAGCATAAATAACACAAACCAGGTCTCATGGTTTTTGCCTCATGGGTTTTAATGGTTCTTGCTTCCTGTGGATGGTCGTACAGTGCTTACCTGGATAGCCTTTCAGAGCTGTTGTGGTCTTGCCTTGAATGTTGCTCTTCAGCTCCTTCAGATGAGCTGGGTTCTGTGAGAGGGCACGTGGGACTTGGCTAACCTGGCTGGAGAGGCTCACAAGCAGGTTTTACACTGCTGCCCTGCTGTGCTGGGCGAGCTGTGCACAGAATCCCCTCTTTTGTCCATGGGCTATGAAGCGTGTAGTGTTTGCCAAAGACCTGGCTGGGATAGTAAGATGGCAGAGGTCAGGGCTGCTCAGAGGTGTTGCAGGTGGTACATTTGCTCCTTGCTAGTCAGAGCTGTTGTT